TGAGTGGGTCCAGACAGCGGAGGTGGAGGGTGACGGGGACAGTGCAGCTGGTTGGCGCTGGGGAGGGCAACCGGGCGAACCAGGCCGACTCAGAACACGGCCTGCAGCTCAGCGGACCCGTAACACCAGGCCATGGCTAACCCGGAGAACTCTGGGTGTCCTCGCCAGGAGCACGAGGTGCAGAGTCTGAAGCTGAGGGTTGCGAGTGTGCTGAGCCGTGTTCCCCCAGAGCAGGAAGTCACGACGTGGCACTATACGCACATTCCTTAGAAATGCGGGGCTGAGACCCAGCGGTTACGGGGAGAAAGACACAGGTGGAAAATGGACGGCCACCGGGAGCGGGGCTCGGGGACGGGGCAGAGCGAGACGGGCGTGGTTTTGTCACCCAGCCTGTGGAACAACGTAAGACTTTTAAACTGTGTTGTCACGAAAAAGGCAAACTCTTTGTGCCAGGTGTATATAAAGGAACAAACCACTGGCCGGATCTCAAAAGCGTCACGTAAAGCAAAGGTGACCAGTGACAAAAGAACGCACGCTGTGTGACTCCGTGTGGGTGACGCGCAGGCGGGACACGCCGCACCTCGGGGCAGGAGGTCAACCGGAGCGGGGCAGGACGCGGGAGGGACACGTCCCCAGCTCCTTTGGGGCGGGGCTGGCACGAACACGCACAACGTAAAGCACCTGAACGTGCACGTTGGGTTGTGCGTTGTCACAATCCGCTAAGAAAAAAACTTTTCCAGTAAACGTTACTCGATATATCAGTCTTAAATTTTAACGTTGAAAGAGAATTTTAGCCATCTTGTTACTCGAAATATCATTCCCATCATCTCCGAAGTGTTCAGAGCCGAGAGATGAGTGTTTTAACATGTTTTTTTAAAAACTAGCATAATACTGGCACCTAAATTTGGAAGAGAGCAAAATCCAGGGTTGTTTGGAGTTTGTTCTAGACACGTAAAGATTACTCCACATTCATCTCGATCTACGCTAAGGAGACGTATCATAAATGCAACATCGATTCCCCGTAATTTAAAACCCAGCGTAAAAACGAGAGATGGATATAAATCTGAAACTAAATGCAGAAGCAGGAAGCGTTTGGGAGCAAAATCGAGAAAAAGACAAAAACGCTGGTTATCAAAGACGTTCGTTCTAGGAACGATCTAGAACACAGTTCCAGAAACGCCGGCCCACAAAAGCGGTTAAAAAATGAACTGAGAGGTGTAAATGTTGGAAAGAAGTCACATTAGTTGTATAGTATATCGACCTGAGGCGAAAACTAAGAAAATCTACCGAATAACTGCTAGACACAGGAAGAGAAGGTAGCAAGGCGGCCCATTACGACAGCGACACACAGAATTCG